GTTGAAACTCGGCAACTTTGACGGCCACGTATGGTTGGAACGAAATTTACAATGATCGAAGAACTTTGTCGAAATCGTAAACAAAATGACGAAATTTTCCTTCAAAATGTCTCCGTCGGATAACGTAAAACATGCTCTTTTCTGCGGGTCTAAAGCAGCAATTAATGAAAGTCTAGCTGTCCCGAACTCAAGAGAACATCTTTCTGTGATTATTTAGCGTTCTAGCGGTACGTGTTTACGGCAAATTAAGGCCAATCTTCCTGCCTTTGTAATTATTTAGAGTGGAATGAACACAACTGATTCAGCAACGTGAAATAGATCTTGATAAACTTCCTTTTCCAACGCTCTTAAAGCTCTTTTGAAAGTATGTAGTTGTTCGGCAATAATTTGCCATTATATTTAAATGAGATATATCTGTGTTATTAAATGCCTCGGTGAGCTTCGTAATTATGATATTTGACAGCAATCGAAACTCTTTCTTACCTTGGTGGCTCTCGTTTTCGGTAGATTTCGTCCTCTTCTATTAACCTGAAAAGTAATCTTGAAGAGATCGCTTTCTTCGCTGGCCATCCATTTTCGATTTTCGATTTTCGAAGCATCAACGCACGTGTGAATTGCGATCAGTTTCGTGCTTCGCTAAGTCACGCATTTCATGTTACTCGTTAGTTAGCTGTACCACTGATAGTTTTTGTACAGTATTTCCTGTATAGGTTTTTAGGTTTTTCTGTCTTCCATAACATCAGGAGTATACAAGAGAATGATCACTAAACTAAGCTTCAGATTTACAAAAAGAAAGATTTCTTGGGAAGACAGATCTCAATATTACAAAAATTCTTTCGCTCCGACGAAGGGCTAAAGCTCGAAACGTCAGCTTTTGTAATCGTTACGGTGGCCAATTTACCATTACAACTTTGTGGATATATCCAAATTATTACAAAAATTCTGCTTCACAAACTAGCCGGCGCAAAATGGTCTGACAGCCGGCGGATTTCCGCCGCCTACCGGCTTCTAATGACAACCCTGAGTATACCGAAGTTTGGCCAAATATGGAAAATGATTAAATAATATTTTCCGATTGTTCTCACAGTTGCCTTGATTGCCAGCGTTTTGCTCTACTTGGTCGATGCCTCTAGAGGTATGTTTGCTTTTCATGATTTCTTGAAGTTTGTTTTGTTTTGTGTTTTTTTTTTTTCAGTGTTAGGAGGTTTGTGCAACTTTTATCTTGTGAAAAAGATGTAGGAGGAAACCCTACCCCATCTACTTCTTACAAGCTAGTGTAGTCGAAACTGTGACCAGCCACGAAGAGGAGGTCATTTCCGGTCAAAGTTTGCCATTCGTGATCAATCTTCGTATCTTTCTCTTTAAACAGGGACAGGCCTGAACCTCTCCACCCTAGAAAGAAATAAATTAGCAGCTCAGAACAGAGTAACACTGTAAGTATGTTTAAAAGAAACTACAGTAAAACCCCACTAACTCGAACCCCCGCTTACTTAAACAAAATCCGATTCCCTCGGATTTGACCCCATTTTCCAGTCATTTACCATCAGCTTACTTGAACTCGGTTAAATCCAACTAATTTTACTTTCCCTTGGCTCAAATTCACTCTGATAACTCAAATGTGAAGTAAAAGCTTCGGTCGATAAACATTTATGGGGTAAGGTAACGAATCTGATCCAACCGACGCGTCGGCCGACACGTTGGCCGGACCTTATAGAAAGACTCTGCCTCGCTGGTACTTTCGCTTGGCTCCAAACTTCGACTCGTCGATCTCCACTGTTTTTCCTACACCTCCGATCTTCATGTCAGCGTTCATAATTTTCGTCGAACATACCGTACGTAAGTCGCTCAGCGCACGGATCACTGTAGGCTTTGAAAGGCTAGTCAGTCTGGCGATGTTACTTCCAGAAGCCTTGATAGCCATTTATGGGTCAGAACAAAGCCGATTGTTGCGTCCTAACCTTTAATTGCGATTGATACGAAGGTGTTCATATTTACGAAAAGGTAATACATTTAGCTTAACTTCCCAAACTAAAAGTCCTTACAAAAAAAAAAAAAAAAACACAAAACTCTCATAAGACGAAAGTTTCATTTGTTTATTATTTGTTGTGTTTTTCAGTATTTCGTCAGAAGACGAAGACTTGGGCAAGAGAGACTATAACGTGAGCCCAATTACTCCTCGCTCTGCAGCTCAGCTGCGGTTGCGCTTTTTGTCTCGAGTGGGCCAACAGGTAAACCTGTTTCACTTCATTTTATTCTCAAAGTTCAGAATGTAATAATTTTCGCTCGCTACTGCGTCAGTTCTACAATAAATACACCTTATTCGATGGTTTAACATATAACACATGAACGCGCGGATATTTTACGAGTTACGTAGTATTTGTCCGCTCGCATTGTATGTTAAACCGTCGAATAAGGGATTTATAAGCCCAATATTATTTCATTTTATAGTATTTTCAGGCCTCTAGTTTTCAAATTGCATCCCATGGCCTCGTTCTAGCATCGTATTGATCGCATAATAAATGCCCTAAAGAAGAAAGCAACACAAGGCAAGCCATTAAAGTGTCACGGTTTTTATATGACCAACAAAAAACCCTGATGCGATTAAAAGTTCGTTAGTTTAAAAGTAAAGCCCAAAAAGATGGAACAAAACTAAATTGTGGCCATTTTGTTGTTCCACCTACCGCCTTATTTTTCCCTTGTTCTACATTATAATACCGTGGCATATTTTGCACGTTCTGATGCCCCAGTGTGGCTCAATGGCGTAGTGGTGGCAAAAAGCCCCGATGGAGAGTACCTGACCCTCTAAGGCCTAGTTTATACGTCGCGCTACAGTCGAATTTAATTCCATTAAATTCGTCTTTCCGTCGACGCATAGTTAGTAGAGGTAAATCGTGGCGTGGTTTTATGCGTCGAAATTAATACGATTGAAGATTTAATTCTCTTCCCAAATGCAGTGCCTCTGGTCAGAGGTGTCATTTTGAAACAAACATGGGGCGGGCTAAAGCTTTGAAAACAATTTTGCTCGAAAAATCCACATCGCTCTGACAATCTTTGAGAAGCTTTTCTATACAAGGAGCACATTTGAGACAATACCCACCACATTTATTTGGTTGCCAGCCGATAGCTTCTTCATTAACTTCAGGAATCGAACATTCCGATCGAACACAAACACTTTTACCACACGTTATACAAGAATACTTCGTTTGTTTCTCACAATTACAGCAAGAAGATGACAAACTTTTCCTCCAAAGCGCTAAAGCCGTAAACTACAACGTAAACTCGCGCGGGAAGTGCCCAAGACGAGCTTTTGCGCATGCGGAATACTTGAAAAGCTCGCCACAGGTCGCTGCGGGCTCGCCAAAATAAATTGAAATACATTAAGAAAATGTATACATTTCATTCGACGCGACCCTAGTGCGACGTTAAAACTGAAGACGCGTTATCGATATTTTATCCGTCTTACCGAGACGGCTAAAACGTCAAGGACGAATTTAATTTACCAGACGAATTTAACTCGTTTCAGACGTCGCGCTATCGTCGAATTTAATTGCTTGTGGGACCTTGAATTAAATTCGTCTGAATTAAATTCGACTGTAGCGCGACGTATACACTAGGCCAAAGAAAGACGTGACCGGGTTTATTAGAAGAGAGCATATTATAGAACAATACCAAGGAACTCATAGGCAACTAACCATTACGTTGTTTAACTCCGAGGTCTTTTTATTTTACTCTATAGTACTTCCAGCTACCAGAGACCTACAGAGCTTCGGCACTGGCTTATCCTCATGTACTTAAGTGATCAGTCAATTCCTGTCTGTGCATGAATAAGCTCCTCTCTTGCGGTGTCAATTTGAAGGACTGGGGTGCAATATTTGAGGCGATTGATGCTCTACCATGTTATTTTTATTGTTGATCATGGACAAGTTTGCCAGATTCATTCTTATATAAGATCTAAAATGATATCACCGAGATAAACGCAAGTAACTTTCATAAGTATTTAGTTATAGAAGACTCTTTTCAGAAATTTATATCTACGTTATACCGATTTTCTTTTTTCTTTCTTTCGTTCTTTATCGTGGGGCTACTGTAAATTTGCGAGACCGAATCACTCAAATTAACAAACGTGCCGTCACAGAAAACAATGAAATAGTGTGATCAAGAATCCTTGATGAGACCTTAAGAGACCTTTGAAGTCCCATTATAGTTTTTTTTTTCCAATTGAGTGTCGATAGCTTTTAGGGATTGCATTGGTTTTGCTGTATTTCGCCTTGTGATTGGTCCAAAAAACACGCGCAACTCTCTCAACCAATCATGCAAAAGTAACAAGAGTCACCACTTGGTCGGCCGCGTTTTCCCGCGTTCTGGACAGTTTGGTTGTTTTTTTACTTTGAGTTTTTGTTGATTCGTAAAGGTTTTTCCTTTCTTCTGATTGGCCGTTGTTATTACTTCGGTTTTGGTTTTACGACAGTCAATCGAAAAGCGCACTAACAAGTTGTTGAATGCTTAAAAAGGATATACAGCTTACAGAATTGATTAAAGTATGAATTGCCTTAGGAAACGCGCGAGGAGACGCAAGAAACAAGTAATATCCAGTTGGAATTTGTTGTTAGTTAGATAAGACATAATTGAGAAGTTGTTTTGAATTAGATTTTCTATTTTCGACTAATTATTTGGAAGTGATGTTGATTGTTTTATTTGCAAAGATTTCGATAACGTGGCTGAGAAGAGCTTTTAATCGCCAGTGCGGATATTGAAAAATTCAGACTTAAATATTTGTTTTTGATTGGTTACCCTGCCCTTGTTAAACCTTTACTAGTTTTGTCAACCTTTCCACTCCCAAAAGTGACCGAGAAAAAAATTATCTTTACAATATCGATACAATATATATAATTTTTTGCCTACAATTATTTAACAGTGTAGTATCGAAGTGTACCCCCCCCCCCCCTTCCTTTGCATACGTAGTGTGAAAACTGCGACGGATAAAGTGAATATCTGATCAGAAATAAACTGCTATCTTCTTTCGACTTACCTCTCCCTTCTCGGGCTGAACAGGGTCGATATGTCGTTATAAGGTTAATTTTGCAAGATCTAAGCGGGCTGGTTATTTCATGTTATTATAATTTAATTAATGCCTGCTAAATGTTTTTGTTATAAGGAAATAATGTACACTACTTACAGTGGCTTCAAATAAAGTGATTTTCTTACTTTGGAACTAGTTTTGTCTGGTGTAATGTTTGCGTTCGCATGTTGTGGGATCGTTAACGTATCGTGCACGCGCATGTCGTCCTGGCATAGACAAGTAGCTGAGACAAGTGTCGACGATTGTCCGAATGAAATGATTAATAACATTCTCGTTCCTTTCCTGAGAACCTATATTCCATCATCGTATAAATGGTAGATAACAACAGGCTTTCAAAACGTTAATAGGGCACAGACAAAGAAATGTGACAACTTAAAAACCTTTTCGGTATTTAGGACGTTACAAAAGTAATTCGAAGTTTTTGATTAACCAAAAACAACAAATAAACAAACTAACAAAGTGTTGTATGAGAATTTTGTTTAAATCGTAATTTTTACTAGAAGCACATACCTTGGTTATATGCTTCTGTTTATACCTGGCTGTTCTTTTGCGGATCTGTCTTAGTCATTCCTGTTGTTGTTTAAGAGAGAGAGGTCTGGGAACAAGCCTCCTGCAGCTTCCCCGTCCGCTTCGTGCAAACATAGCAGCCAGATAACGTAACGGTGGCTCTTTCAATCTGCAAATCTCTTGACTGAGTCAATAAATCAACAAATAATCGAATCAATAAATAGGGTCACAGACTAGTAGACAAACATCGAAAATAAGCAAAAAAAGCTTTATTATGGACAGAAGCAAGTTTTTTTTCACAGGGGGTGAGGGTGCTTTGCAATGAGTATTTTCGTCACGTGATAAAGCCGAACAGATACGTTTCGTGTTTATATCGTCTCGAAGGGGAAATCATAAAAGAGTATATTTAGACAAGTTAGATCCCCGGGATTCTTGAATTTTTTAGCTTCTCATAATGTCCATGAAGAGCCTTCAGTGACGTAAACTTCTGAGGTTACGTTCACAAGCCTGGAAATGTGCCGAAAGATGGAATACGTATAATTTCTTGTCAGTGGATATGAGGAATGTTCGGGGTGCGAAAAAGTTTCCTCTGTTTGCGGTGCTTCGCACAACGATGATCTTGGTGAGGGGGGAGTGCCTTCTCTGAGAAGAAATCTGTGTTTTAATCAGAAAGAGGATTGCGGTGGTTCGTCTAACATTTCGGTGTATAAACACGGTAACTAGAGCCGAATTACAAAATGGCGGCTCTTGGGTTGAGTGTAATTGTTGTGTTCTTTGTCGCACTTTGCCTGGGAAGCTGTCAGGCATGTGGAAGAACTATTTTAACAGATTTACAAGGAACGATCACCGATGGACCTGGTGGATATCCCGATAACAAATTATGTGAATGGCTTATTAAAGGTGAGTAATTCATCTATCATGTTATCGTCAATTCGTTCCACACCATGTAATGTAACTGGCCTCGACAAGTTGATGGACTAATAGTTTGATCGGCCGGACAATTTTGTCTACGTTCGCCTTTCCTTTATCGATCTACCAATGTTCAGAAATCGTTTTGGAAGTTTGTCGAATTAGAAACTTGTGATGCAAGGCTCATGTTGCTAACTCCAATTTTTACTCCCTGTTGAGAAGAATTAGACCGGTTTGAATTCGATTCCTTGGTGACTTAAAAATATTCTCAGAATTTTAAGCCCTATAGATAAACGCATTTAAGAGAATTGGGCAAGACTAGTCTGCTCACACTTCATAATTTTGTTTAGTTTTGCCAGCATTGTAAATAATTTCTGGTATGTCTAGATTTAATTTGCGATTTGCACAATTGGTAATTCCATGCTGAATAGGCATGGTGGTGTTTAAATATTTAGGAACTTCTTGAGTCCACAAATTTGTTGTTGCCATGACCGTATAGACCGTTATTTTGTATCATTAATATTGGAGTGATTAATTATACCAAATTAGAATGTTTCACGACTTGTTATCACGTGCATATACCGATAGCTTACGATACAGCAGTGATTCGACCATTGTATGGATTTCACACTTACCAATGAAACTAGTTTTGATGTTACTTTCCTTCATCGTAGGCATTGACAGTGAATAATTTGAGAGAAAAAAAAAACATGAGAATTAAACTTATTTGAGAATGTTTAATATAAACAAATATTGTCCACAAAACGTACTTGAACATCATAAATCGGATATTAGTCAGGTATTCGAAGTCAGTTCCTGATTGTCCAGTGTACAAACAGTCGAAAGCAACGTAACTTAACAAATCGTCAAATGATTGGAAAGTGGTTGACATAACGGACATTAAGGTGTATTCTGTTACATACACTGCGTTTCTTTCACGTTAAACTAAATCCATTGAATAAATTAAGCTTGCATTTATATTCACTGTGTTGCCATTGTGTACATGTAAACAAGATTGCATTATAAAAGTCAACAGAAATGAATCATGTGTCATATATTTAGTTCTCTGTCAAATCCAGTACATGTGTTGTGGTTTAAAATGATCTCGGGCAGAAAAATGGTTGCAAACTAGTTTGATTTGTAAAGGATGTGTTTGTCGATTTTGTCATGTTGATAAATGAGAGCTTAATGGTTTGCGTCATGATTTACGGTCATTATCACTTACTAGAGTGTTACCTGACACGGTCTCTAACTCTTGAGACAAACCATCAAAATTCTAACAATGTGTAACAATTATAGTAATGTACCAGGAACAAAGAAAATTTATGACAGTTTTCTACAGAACTTCAATTTAAAATTACAAGATATATGTGTTCAGTGAAGCAATTTTCTCTTACTAGTAGGTGTACATAATTAAATTGCTGAATCATAATCTACACTGTTATGCATGAATACCTGTTTGCTCTGACAATGGGCTAACACTTAAAACATCAGCTCTGGAAACTATTACAGTGGCCAACTTACATTATCAACTCAGTTGATTAAACCAACTTATTTTGTAACACCCCTCACAAATGCACCACCACAATTTCTTTATAAAGTTACCCTCTTTATTCATAACAAATTAATTTTGTAAGGAATGCACATAATACCAACTGCTGCTTATACGTGACTCTGCCGGTGTTCTACTAGTTGGATATTTTTGCTTTGAAGTGAAATTTTGAAGGAAGATGTTGCAATATCAAATTGATTTTTATGATCATTTTGGCAAATGGTGCTTGTAAGTTAGAACTTTCGACAGAAAATTTCTAATAAAATTATCAGAATCCACAAGATGTGATGAAATACAAAAATGTACTTAGTGTGCGAATCATTAAGAAAAATCAATAGCTAAAAGATTGAAGGACTTTGCTTGAATTTTCAATCAACTCTCCTTAACACATTTAAAAAAGTAGAGAAAAAAATTAATTTTACTTCACTTACCAGGTGGTTGAAAAAAAGAGACAAGAGTGTAATTTTTTTAAAAAAAGGAGATGTGATCCAAGAATGTGTGTCCATTTCTTAACTAGCAAACGATGGGAAATGTTTAAGCTTGTCATTAAAATTTTAGTTGAAGGTACTTAATAGAATAAAGTCAGAGAACTATTTCCAGTTTGACATCGGCATTGACATGTTCAAACATGTCTGAGAATTTTTTTTTTTTAACTGTGTTCAATGAAGGAGAGCATATGCTATTCATGTTGTTTTTCAGTCCTGTGGGTTTTATAATATCCTGTGGATATTGATCTGAACCAAGACTAGGGCTCAACACCAAGAGTAGCAAACTAGCTACAGACTAGTAGAAATTCAGTTTTGGTTAGTGGTTTTCGATTTCTTCCGGCCAGTTTGGCTAGTAAATAAACTGAAATTGTTGTAACATCTAAGTTGTCACTAGCGACTTGGCTAGCCTTTAGTTGAAAAGTTGGTGATGAGCCCTGCCAGACTGTTTCAGCAGCTTTTTGACACCATCTCATGGGGCTATTCTCACTTGCTACCATCTGGATGCCATGGGAAGGTGTGTAGTTAAATTGCATTCATCTGCTCAACAAAAATGAGTTATTAACAAAAAATCTGAACTGTGAGCCAAGCTGTTATAAAATTTTGGTAGGTTTTAATATACAATGGATTTTATTATATGCAAAGACAAAAATATTCATTCTTAAGATGTATCAAAATGTAGGTTACTGATCCATGATTATTACTAGTATTTAACCTTCTGGTTTGTTTTTGTTTTTGTTGTTTTCTTTTGTTATCCACAGCTCCACGACCAAATGTTTCTATCACGTTGAAATTTCTAGATTTTGGTACAGAATGTTCTTATGATTATTTGTTCATTCATGATGGTGACTCATATCTGTCTCCCCTTATTGGAAGCATCAGTGGAAACAGTTCATTACACACAGTTGTATCTCATTCAGGACAGGTGGGTATTTAGGGAAGAAAATGAAACCTACTATAGATTTAACCCTTGATACCCCAACTTCAGTATGCATTGTCTCCATACTGTTCTCTATACATTCCCTAAGATGCTGACAAGGAGAATTTGAATAACAATCAAGAGTTTGTGTTGGGGATCATGTCCTTTATTCTCATGACCTTACTGTTTGAATTAGGGGTGTTATTGTAAGGAGAAATTACAGTAGATCAGGGCTTGAAATTGCACCTGTATCGGGTGCATTTGCAAATAAAGATTTTGCTTTTGCGACCAAAATTTCTCCATTGGTAGCGATTTTCCAACCATTTTATAGCCTAGCTTATAAATAAGTTATATTTAACAGCCATGTGTCTTACTTGTTACTGGTTGCTGTAGTTTTATCCAAAAAATCCTGCACAATTCTTGTTAAATGTTGCGTGACTTATCGTTGATTTCTTGCTGAGAAATGTATTGCAGGTGCACTTTTTCAGAAACTAGGTCGTGCAACACTCATGAAATTTCTAGGAAATCTTCATTTCTAATTTCTGGTTCCGGTAGAAGTAGGTTACTTTTGCAACTAACATTTTTGAACTTGTGACTAAATTTTGGGAATTACTCGCAAATTTCGATTGAGAAATTTTTTAGTTTCAAGCCCTGCAAGATCAAGCCAAGTGTGTCAGTGATGTTCTTACCTCTTTTTGATGTCTTCTGCAATCATTACTAATTAAGACAGACACACACCAATACAGAATCTAATTGTTTCATTTGATGAAAAGGGAAAGTGTTGCTCTAGGTGACGTTCTTCAGTAGATCATAATTAATTTGGAACCAATCAAAATGTTTACACTGTTCAGTTTATCATATAACCTAAAAATGTACATGTATCAAAGCTTTCCTTTTCATTGCTATTCTCTCAACAGATGCTTATCAATCTCTATAGTGACACCAACTACTCCCTCCGCGGCTTTATTGCTAACTATACTATAGAAAACTGTACCGATGGATGTTCTGGCAAGGGAACCTGTGAGGATGGGTTTTGTCAGTGTCAGAAAAATTGGCGAGGCAAAGCATGTGACTTGCACACCTGTCCATTGGCTTGTAACAATGCAGAATCTCATGGCAACTGTGATTTTGTACGTAGTGATAGTTTAGTGTCGGTAATAACATGATTTCGAGTACAATTTGGTGTCAATAAGCATGAGTTAATTTTTCAGAGACAACAATATTGCACGAGCCCGTAGGTTGAGTGAAATTTGTAGTCTTTGAAAAATTTAGAGATTATTTCCCCAGTTGTACTTGAAATCATGTTGTCATTTGTGAATAATTCACATGAAAGATGCATCACTAAAAGTCAAGATAGATAAAGTTTTTTACAGTGTGCACACGATTTGTTATTTGTACTTGCGTTACATGAAAACTGCTCTTTGTTTACTTTTCAGCCAATCAGATGTGCATAATTTTTTCATATATGTTATTAACCCTTGAAATCCTGTGAGTGATTAACGTGTAACTTCTCCCTATGATATCTATACATAATTCAGTAAACAGATAATGAGAATACACAACCTTATCAGGTACTGTAGACATTTTTATCTTGATTGAACACCCAATTCTTGTGACTAATTTACAAGGAAATGTGTAGTAGCTAGAGGGGAGAATTAACAATCAGATCTTGGGAGTTGAATGGTTGAAAAGGAACAGTTTTTAGGGTTGAAGTGATTTTTGGGTTTTGATTGTACACGTTTATGTCTATTTAAATTAAATAATTCACAATGTGCTTACAAAGTGGGTATCAACAGCCTACTATGAAACAGGGCTCGACACTAACTTTTCAACTTGCTAGCCAAGTGGCTAGTGACATCTTAGATATTATGACGATGTCAGTTTGTTTACTAGCCAAACTGGCTTGTGGAAAACCTGAATTTCTACTAGTCTGTGGCTAGTTGGCTACTGTTAGTGTCGCGCGGTACCTGATAAGGTGGTGTGTGTGGCAAGAAACTACTACTGAAACACATGACTCAGAAAATTTTGACTCCTAAGAGTGACCAAAGCAGAAATTCTCCTTACATTATCAATACAATATCATGCACACAATTGATGAGAATGAAGGAAATGATCAATTAAAGGATTATTAGTTGATCCAATACCAAATTCTCAGAATAAACATTATAACAATTGTATGGCAAATATTAAGAATTACCACAACTGAGATCTTAAAAGTGAATGGGTTGATTGTAAACAAGACTTTGAGACGAAAGGGTATCTATTTAGTATTCTCTTTTTAATCATTACTTTAGCAATAACTCGTAATTATTTAGTTATATGCTAATTGTAATTTTTGTATTTTTTAGTCCCAAGGTCATTGTGTCTGTAAAAATGGCTTTATTGGGGAATCCTGTTCTGTTTCAACAATGACTGCAGATGACTCTAATAAGTGGTACGCCATTTCATCATCATCTCCAATTTTCCATCCCAGAACAGCACATTCTGTGGTTTATTCAGAAGAAAGTGATGTGTTACTTTCCTTTGGAGGTGTGTGCATACATTTACATGCACTTTAACTTTTAAATTTTTGTAGTTATGAAATATCATTACCATAATGGTAGTTTTTTTCAGCAAGGATATTCATGGTAGCCAATCATTGTAATATAGTTTATTTCTGACCACTTGCAGCCTGGGGCAGAATTACGGGTGCAGTTTAAGGTTGAGAACAGATGTCAGCATATCAGGCGCCTCTGTCAGCCGCTTCAGTCCATTGATCTCACCTTCCCACCCATCCCACCCATCCCACCCCAGGGGAGGACATCCATCACACAGTAATCTCGTGTGTGGGAAATTAACTTCCCCTACCCCTAACCCTGCAGGAGACGGGGCCCCCATTTATTCGTCCCCATCCAAAAAGACTAGAATATCTAACCATTTCTTGATGTCATAGAAAGTTTGCAAATTCTCAATTATTTTAAGACCTTGATTGTTGGTCCGGCCAGGGCTCCAACCCTCGACCTCCCGCACAACAGTCCAGCGCACTGTCCATTCGTTTAATGGCTCAGATTATAGGAGATGAGAAAAATATTTCGACTCTACCCCTTGCCTTACCATGCATCCAGTTAACTTTGTTCTTGTAAAAAATTTACAAGATGGTGGCTTAAGTTGAGAAATAGTGATGTTTAACCCTCTAACTCCCTGAGGTGATTAACATGTAACTTCTCACTGTAATATCCTTACATTATCTAACAAAGAGGTAGTGAGAATACCCAAACCTGTGTAGCGTGTAGTAGTAGTTATCCTAATCTAACATCAAATTCTCACAACTACTTTACAAGGAAGAGTGTAGCAGCTATAGGGAAGATTTAACAATCAGATCTTGGGAGTAAAAGGGATAATGTAGAGTTGAAATAGAGGAACTGTCCACTTTTTTGTGAGGGGGGATCCTATGGTATTTAGCAGTTAGCAAATAACATTGCCCTCAGTCATCTGCCCTGTGAATCTGTTCATGATTATTATTAGCATTGCTGCTGTGTAATGTTTTTAATGGTTGAACAAGTTAAACTTAATTAAGACCCCTTTTGTTTTTCTTGCAGGTTATTCTTTAAGTAGGGTATTTGATGACTTGTTACAGTTCAATTTTACCTCAAGTTAAACTTAATTAAGACCCCTTTTGTTTTTCTTACAGGTTATTCTTTAAGTAGGGTATTTGATGACTTGTTACAGTTCAATTTTACCTCAAGTTAAACTTAATTAAGACCCCTTTTGTTTTTCTTACAGGTTATTCTTTAAGTAGGGTATTTGATGACTTGTTACAGTTCAATTTTACCTCAAGTCGGTGGAGCGAGGTGCAAACTGGATCTTCTAAACCTGTGAGTGGCTAATTATTCTTGGTTTGCCAGTCAATTCCTCTTTCAACCGTTACACCCCAACATCACTGTGTAGATTCTCCCTACTGTTCTCAACACATTTGCTAAGGTGCTGACAAGGAGAATTTCTTTAACAATCAAGTCAGAGCTTCTTTAGTTGGTGATCATTTCCTTTATTTTTGTAGCAGAAGTGTTTGATTCAACTGTGATACTGCAAGGAGCAATTAGATGCTAATCCCTCGAAGGGGTTAATATTCGTGTGTCATTTTTTCCTTTTTTTTTTTTTTTAGGTTGGGCGATTTTCTCACTCTGCGAGCCTGTATCACGACAGCATGGTGCTATTTGGGGGCGAATTAGAAAATGGGAACCTAACCAATGAACTTTGGTTTTACAACATTACTCTTGGAAAATGGACAGAGCTGGCTGTGAATGATGCTGGAAAGCCACCTCGTTTGGCAGAACATACAGGGACAATAGTGGATGATGAACTGTATATTTTTGGTGGTAAGTGTTGGGTGACAAACAACCTTTTGATACAGTACAAAGTACAGATGAATTTCTCACAAAGGATCTCTTTTTCAAACTAGGTTGTAGCGTACAACTTGACCAAAATAGTTACCTGAGCATGTCGCTTCCTCTAATTGACAAAATTAACGACGATGATTTCCAGATTACATGACTACATATAAATCCCTTTAACTCCAAAAAAAACCCATTTTGTGTGGGACTCTATCGCCCTCCTTCATCTAATACTATAATCAAGAAATTGATAGATATTCTAGTCTTCTCAGATAAGGGCGAATAAACCATAGGGTTTAAGGACGAATAATCCTGCAGGGTTAGGGGTAGGAGACGTTAGTTTCCCATGCACAAGATTACTGTGTCATGGATGTCCTCTCCTGGGCTGGGATGGGTGGGAATTGGCCCTGAAAAGCCCCCATGGGGAGTGGTCAACTAACGTATGTATGCATGTATGTATGTATGTATGCATTGATGTATGAATTGAAAAAACACATGATTTCCTCTTAAAATGAAGTCTTTTGATTGATTGAGTGATTGATTAATTAAGTACAAATATCTTTAAACTCATACCAAGAGACCATTCAAATCAATTTCAATTGTCAATTGATTATAAAAGTAACTGTTGGATATTTTCCTCCTAAACAGGTCGAACTGTTACAGACCCATTTTCCTCAACCATGTATTCATATTCTTTATCCAACCATAGTGGTTGGAAGAAGGTTTCATATAACAGAGGGAATGAAGCAAAGCTGCGCATGCTGGGTCACTCGGCAGTTTATTATGCAGATATGCGCTCTCTTATCATTTTTGGTGGATTTGTTCCCTTTATTCCAAGGTAATATAGTAATATTTATTTCACAGTTTTATTTTATATAAACATTACTGTTATCAAAATTTTGTCTAAAATTTCAAATTTTGTTTTTCTTCTCTATAGTTAGAGAAAGCATTAAGTTTAATTTGTCCAAAAAAAAATCCCAAATCTTAAAAAGAACACAAGATATGGCTAGTAATTCAGCTAAGTAAACACCCACAGTTTTGTGTTAAAGTGCCTTTGCCAAGACAAAGACTGTTAAAACTTTTGTTACTTTCTGATTCTATACTTTCTAAGCTTTACAGTGGTGTTAAGTTTTCCATGGTTTCTTTTGAAGTAATATGTGTACGGTGATTTCCTCAGAAGGCACCCTATTTGTTGACAGTAACAAACAATCTCCAGCTTTGTGGCCATTTGTCTTTTCTGACTGACTTTGTTCCTGTCTTTTAATTATTAGGAAAAGTAGTCAATCCAACAGACTTCTTGCATTTCATCTGGATCTTCGTGTGTGGTCTTCAATAGATGTAGATGTAAATGGTTTAGTCCCAAGAGGTCGTGCATTTCACTCTGCAGTGTTGATTGGGGACTATATGATAATTTATGGTAAGAGGAATATCTTAGATCTAGGTTAACTTTTCATACCCTAACAATAAACAATTCAAGCTGCTAGTTACCATTATGATGATATTAACCCTTTAAATCTTTAGCGTGATCATTATCTGATTTCTCCTGACAGTAAAATTTCTGTATCATTCATTACAGTCATGAGAATAGAAGGAATGATCACCAACCTAACAAGCTTTGATTGTTAAACAAATTCTCCTTGTCAGTACCAAAAGAAATTTGTAGAAAAGAGTGTAGAGAATGTAGATGTTGATGTTATAGGGTGTAAAGGGTGAACAGAGAACCACTCCACTGCTGAGTGGAAATCAGTCTTTGTTGTCAGTTTTGTTTTTGTCATTATTGTTATTGTTTGAGAGGATGGTGTGAAGTACACTGATGCTCTTGTAATTTGTTTTTTGTTTGTTTTATCAAAAAAACTAGGTGGAAATGTTCATGAACATTACAATGAAGAGATTTGTTATGACAACAAAGCTCTGTTTTACAACCTGAAATGCAACAAGTGGATTCCAGCATCAACATTTGATGCTCTTTCTCCTTCTGATGGAATTCCTCAACAGGGTCGATTTTCACATTCAGCTCTTCTGCGAAATGGAAGCGTCATGCTTGTGACTGGTGGCTTTGCTGGGTTGCCACTTGGGGATGTCTTGGGCTATAAATTACCAGTTGCCATAGCAGCAAAGAGCACTGCAGGTGGACACTGTGGTGGCCATAGTACACAGAAAAGTTGTCAGGAAGACCCAGAATGTGGGTGGTGTAGTACATCAACAGAGTGCCTTAGCAGTGATCTGTCAGCAAATTGTTCAGGGATTCTGTCACAGGGCTCTTGTCGCGAGCCCTGTACTAGTTATTCACAATGTAGTAGTTGTCTGTCATTTGGTGGTTCTCAGTGTGGCTGGTGTGTACAGGACAGTAGGTGTTACCCTATTAACTCACCAACAGGTGCCTGCCAGATTGTCACTGACAGCAACAACAGAGAGAAAGTCAGAGGCTGGTGGGGTAATGAAGGACAATTTCTCACATCATTAAACCAGTGTAAAACAATGGATTTTCCACCTGGTCTGATAGTTGTGGAGTACCGAGAGGTCCCAAACATTACCTTTCCTGACGCTGTAAGAATTATCCCAGAATCAAAGACGGAAATTTTACATCTTACCATCAGAAGTAACCACTTGAGAGCCCGTGTGACTGAGATGATTGGCTTCGTTTATCCATTTAAGTTCAAAACAGCACCTTGGACATCGTACACATTGTCTCTTGTACTTGATAATATTAAAGATACAGAAGCAAAGCTTTGGCTGAGCACTGATGAAACTGAATCAAAGGTGGTGAGTACACCTCAAGTTACTAGATTTGTAGAGTCAAACACTGGTTCAACATTGGAAATTGCAAAAAATCAGAAATTTTTTTACAAATGTCATGCCGAAAAGCACAATGGTCCATTTTACAGTTGTGTGCTTGGTTGCCAAGCCTTTGAACAGGAGTGAGGCTAAGGGTGACCTTATTATGATACAAATGTTGCTGCTTTTCAGATGTAAATTACTTTGTTCTAGTGCTAACTAGATACTGGTTTTGGAACTTGGAACTTGGAACTTGTACTCTCAAATAGCTAGGATAACACTTGGAGATATAGAATAACTAATTTGTAGTGCTAATAATCTACGATAAATATGTGAAGTCTAAAAGAAACAATAAATGTAAATAGTTCAAAATCTTTTCAGGTGGTTCGGGGTCTTCATGTTCCGAATGTCCCTTATGGCTAATGATTTAAAAGAAGTAATGTTCTCAGCCTGGACTGCTTGAGTTTACAGTTTATTCCATCTCACAACAAGGTCACCTTCAGCCTTACTCCAAATCAAAGGCTTGGCAACGACGTACACAACTGTAAAATGGCCTATTGGCATGAAAATGATAAACTTGGAACATTTTCTATAAACAAAATTTTGCAAAAGGAGAAGTTTGGTCTTTTTAATCAAGGGTGGCGTCCTTAAGTTTTTAACTCCCAAATGTGATTTACCTATAACTTCTCATAATAATTATACGTACATTATCTTGCAAACAGGCAATGAGAATACTCAAACTTATCATGATTTAGTTATTATAGAGATGTGTGCGCTCTGATTGGTCGAGGATTGCGTCATATCTCTCTATAATCACCTTGCGCAAGATGATTATATTAGGAGGGCTAAATTTCAAAATTGCTGCCTCACGTTTTGTGAATGTTTCCGAGGAAGTGATTAACACGATGGAAGAATATTGAATTGCAAAGAGCACAAAAGATGCTAAAAGATTGGCGGGACTCTTTTCAAAAGAAAGATTTGAAGTTTTTTGCTGATCGAACTAAATAAACCTGTTAAAGCTGCTCGCTTATCCTCAAACAAGTAATCAACACCAAGGCTGTACTCTAAGAAAAATTGAAGAGAGCCCAGTGCTCAGAAACTGTGAAATCCAGGGTGCCCAGCATATGCTTTTTATGAAAAAACTAAGATTCCTGGGTCGCCCAAGAACAAATGTAAGGCGCCAGGGTCCACCGGGCGCCGCTAGACCACAGCCCTGACTGGACACAATTGTTTACAGAATTTACTAAAGAATTCGAAAGTACCACAATTATACAAAAAAAATTATTTACCTCTGGCTTTGAACACTATTGAACAATCCCCTTGGCTTCATCCCGGGGATTATTCAACAATTTCCACCTTACCTTTGGTCATGCGTGCTATGCTTCGGTGCATAGCACGCATGCGTGCTATGCTTTGGTGCATAATTGTTAAATAACACCACATTCTCGTTATTAATTTACAAGGTGGGAAATGTGAGTCGCTAGCAGGGCTCGACACTAACTTTTCAACTTACTAGCTAAGGGACTTATGACAATTAATGTCGCGACAATTTCAGCTTGTTTAATTGCCAGTTTGGCTTGTGGAAATCGAAAACCACCAGCCAAAACTGAATTTCTACTACTCTGTGGCTGGTTGTCACCGTTTTTGTCGAACCTTGGCTAGGGGGGAGAATTAAAATTCTGATCTTGGGAGGTAAATGGTTCAAGTTTCTTTTGATTTACAGTTTTTTATTTTTTTCGACTCTTTTTTTTTTCCACCAGGAGTTGGTAGCTCACTGTACAAAGTCGGGAACTCAGCAATGCACAGCTGTAGCTCGGCGTAGTAACAATCAGCCCCTGTTCCCGTCTCCATCTGAAGGAAAAAAATATTATCTTAGAGTTGAAGTTGACCAGAGTGTAGACTCTTCTGTGGATTCTCGTGTTACGCTGAGGTGGAACCGAACAGATTCCCTATATTTAACAGTGGTAAGTTCTTTATTTATTTATTTATTTATCGGCTGGCGCAGTTAAGCTTTAAACAGAGGCCTGTATAAACAATAACAAAGAAAGACCACAACACCACGAGGTATATTCCCCTCTCTGTGAGAAGTGTGCGGGTTCTTTAACATCCCCTGCTAACCAGTACAGAGAAGCTACAGAATACTGGGCCTACGGATTATTGTCCTTACCCAGACAGGAATGTCTAACCGTTTGCAGATGTTCTAGCTAAAGGAGCACTTTCTTAAGACCTTGACTACTGGTCAAATCTGGGGCTCGAACCTTCGACCTCCCGCACGGCATTCCGGCGCTTTACAACATGAGCTAACCAATGGCAGTCAAGAGTTCTTTCAGTATTTAACTCAGTGAGCCCATCGTCCAGGTCAAGTGAGGGTCACACTTTCATATTTTCAAATAAGACGCTTTTGCCATTGGTGATCCTAACACCGTGCAGGATGTTTGTTATGTGTGAACCTGGTCTCTGGCCAGACTGGCAATTTGTTCCTGTTCAGCTCAGTGGTAGAGCATTTGGACAAAACAGAAAAGAAAAGGTGTTTCTTGCCAATATTATATTCTTCGTAATATGTTTACTATAGCTAACACGGCCATGCATTTTTCTGAGGTCAAAGTGTGGCTCTAAACAACCTCATATCAGCGACACCTGATTAACCGCCTCCAAGTTAGCTCAATGGATAGAGCGCTGGACTGATGTGCGGGAGGTCGAGGGTTCGAACCCCGGCCGGACCAACACTCAAGGTCTTAAAATAATTGAGAAGAATATGCTGCCTTTCTATAAAATCAAGAAATGGTTTAGATATTCTAGTCTT